GGAAGGCCTTGGGTTGACCGGTACGACCAATCTCAAGGTCGGCTTCGCCGGAATGCTGCCGAGAATGGCTGAAAGGATCTCAGTTCTTGGACAATTGGACATGAAACGCAACATGGCCTTTAACAGCGAGAAGATTCAGCCCGACTGCCGAGCTTCCAGTAGAGTGGGGTGGCAGTCGGGTTTAGGTGATGTTCAGCAAGATCTGTGCTGACAGATGGGATAGCAGAACCACGTGTCGAGAGATCACTGGGAGTAGATTTGGGCGCAGAAGGTATATAAGCAAGTCTGCGCCCCCCATGCTGGACACACGAACATTTGGTAAGAAAAATACTTACACTCAACTCAGTCCCTCTCTCTCTCTCTCTCCTATCCCTGTGTGTGTGTCTGACTTGATCGTCGGAGGGGTTTCGGCCACACACCGCCGGGGTAGCTCACTGCTGTGTGCACGCAGGTGATCGGACAGAAACGGAGCTTGAAGAAAGGAGTGCGGGCTTGCCTGAATATTTGCTCCCCGCACAATTGGCGCCGTCTGTGGGAATGTTAGGTTTGATGTTACGTTACATATGGAAAAAATTTTTAGGATGCTTAGTCGTAATGCTTTGATGTTAAACAAATGCACATCAATCAATATAGGTTATTACATTTACTAAGTACACAATGGTGAATCTCATAACTGCCGTCAACAACAAATAAACATCATGTACACATTGTATCAATGTCAACGTAACACGAATAACTATGTGCATCATTAAGCACAATAAACACAATAAAAATACGATGTCACCATACCTTCATCATAAACCAATGAGAAGCTCACAATTAAATTAATTAAATCCAACAAACTAAACTTCCAATCAACATCATCACAACACCTACATTTCAAGAAAACCAACATCATACACAATGAATAGGATCCGAATAAACATTGTGCCGCTATACCACACCCAATTACAATGTTTCCTAAATGCACGGCGATTCATTTGTTCAAAATATGCAGTAAATTCCAGTTAAAAACCAACATTTTTTTAAGCGACATCCCACCTCCCCTAATAACCAACTCATGTTATAAATTCCATGTTAACAAACCAACTCATGACTTGACAAATCCAAGCCAAAACTGGGTAATGTAATACCACGGTTGCGTTGTCAACAATGGAATAATTGAAACCCTATGATGTTAGTCGTCACATTAACACTAACATGATGACAATCATGCATGCCCCAAATCCGGCATAACATTGAAACATGGGCACTACCAACGTACGTCAAACCCCTCAACATCGACCACGTGGACGACAACTATGTACATATACGAACAATTAAACCGTTACAACAAACATTAAACACTAGCAAACAGCGTTACAATAACATTTCATTACCCGTATGCGAATCCTAAAGATAAATTCCATATTAAGCATCAAAACTCACACACTACGTATCTTCACGTTTCTTTGTCATGAATCTTTTACAAAAAAAACCCGATGGGCACTGCTATCTAATGTAGGGTTCGGACCCCCAATTTCGTTTTTGAAATCGTCGGCACGATCAACAATCTCACGTTTGCACAGATGTTCGAAGACTGTTCAAATCACTGTCTCAGTTGATTTGAGAAGGTAGGGTTTCGACGAGGTACTGTTTTTACCCGAATTTTGGATGCGAAATCGGCAATTTGTGAGGTAAACACTCATTACCATTTGCAATGTTCCTGAATCCATGAAGGAAAATCAATGTTACAGAAGGGTTTCGAATCTTTTCATGTTTGTAATGTTGGATTGGTTCGTGAGGGAAGAAAAACACAAAAAAAAAAAAAAAAAAAACACTATAGTATGGATTGTCCATATGAGTAATTTCACCAAAAGGGAAAATCCATTTTTCTCCCTCACCAAAAACACACACTATGACACTGACTGTCCTTTTAGGTAATTCTCACTTGAATAGGACCTTTTGGTTCATAAGAAAAAAAGATAGGACTAAACAATTCATTAAACTACGATTTAGGATTTATTGGTGCTTCTCCCTTTTTTTAAATCAATTATTTAATATTTATCTTATTTGTAGGCCATGAAATTAATTTTTGTAAGTTATTTATCAACTTTTATATGTTTATTTAAGGGAAGAAATTTAAAATTATCTATAAGTTATGAAATTAATGTTTTAATTTTATCTTTTATTGTTTTTAGACTATAAAATTAATTTTCATAAATTAATTTTCAATATTTATATGTTTATCTATATGGAGGAATTTTGAGATTTAAATCTTTATCTATAAGCAATGAAATTAATTTTCAGTTTAATAATCAAACAAATAGAAAATAAAGAAAAATAGAAAACATGAAAGGCAATCAAAGAAGGTTGCCATGTAGAAAGAGAGAGTTTTAAAATTATGAGAATTTAGGAATAAATATTTGAAAGCTTTTGACAACACAACTACATTTGGTTATATATATAGATAGTTGATAGATAGATTGCGTTTTGTGGTACTAAATTGGTAGTTTTCTATTTTAAAGTTTAAAATTTTTTGCTTTAATTGATTGGCAAGAGTATGGTATCTGAATTTGACCTTTTTTAAATTTTTGTTAGGCCCACATTAGAGAGCTTGAAGAGTGAACTTCTTAAGAATCTTTTACATCCAAACATTATTGTATGTATTTGATTTGCATTCTTACTGAAGCAATGGTTGTTCATTTTAATTGTCTTGTCTGTCTATCTTTATTTTTTTGGTTGGTTTTCTGACTGTACCCATCTCTTCTTTTTCTTGAAGAGATACTTGGAAACAACTAGAGAGGAGGAATCTTTTAATATTTTGCTAGAATTTGTTCCTGGTGGATCTATCTCTTCTCTCCTAGGAAAATTTAGTTCGTTCCCCGAGTCTGTAAGTTGATTACCACTTATTCAAATTATCAATTTTTTGTTTTTGAGTATTGAAGTTATATCAAAAATGCATTGCAAGGCTACTTTTAACACTCTGTATGCCGAGCAGGTTATAAGAATGTACACAAAACAGTTGTTGTTGGGATTGGAATACCTTACCAGAATGGAATAATGCACAGGGACATCAAGGTATCTTCATAAAACTTCTCTCTCTCTCTCTCTCTCTATATATATATATATATATATGTTTGTTAAAGGTCATGCTTTTGTCAGGGAGCGAATATCCTTGTTGATAATGAGGGGTGCATAAAAACTTGTAGACTTTGGTGCATCAAAGAAAGTTGTTGAGTTGGTATGAACAATGTTTCCTCTATTTCATTTTTTATTTAATTTTTCTAGTTATTTATTTTGTTTTCTTTCCAAGGTAATATTATGTCAAATTATTGTATACCCAAGTTATGTATGTTGCTAGTACAGGCTACAATGACTGGTGCAAAGTCAATGAAAGGTACTCCATATTGGATGGCT